TAATTTGCGCACCGTTCATGGGCAAAGCGCGCTGGGTCATTGGTTGGGCCATGGTCGGGCGAGCTGAGTTCGCGTGCGGCACCTGGCTTGCTATATGGCCATGACTCTTACTCGCAACGGAACATGTCTCGGAAGGTACTTGATCGCACAAATGGCGCTCTCTGCCGGGATGCTGGATGCAGGGCATCTTGGCGCAGCCAGGGGAGCTCTCCAGAAAAGTGCAGGCGGTAGGACGGGCGTAGACTTGTGTGCTGCGACCTTTCCACAGCGTTCCCTTGGCCGCATCGAGTCTTCTAAGGACCTTCTCCATAGTGATTTGGGCCCTGCTCTATGCGAAAGCTGGCACGCTTATGAGCGGTAAAGCGCCCCAAGCTGAGGAGGAAGACACTTGTCAAGAAAGCACAGACGAAGGGAGGGAGGGCAGACTGCTTCTGCTGCCGAAAATTTCACAAGTACTTCGGCTTTGTTCGATCCTTCCCTGCACAGCACGAACCGGCTGCAGAGAGAAGACAGAGAGAGAGAGAGAGAGAGAGAGCTGGGAGCGCCTCCTCACTGTCTGTCATAAGAAGAACTGTGCCAAACAGGTCCAAGATGGGCTTTCAGTAGACGACAGTGGGGGTCACAAGAATCGCACGAGAATCCAAGGGTGTGTTGTGGCATACGTGGCAAGCACGTATGCTGGCCAACGCATGTCTCCGAAGTCGGCGCCAGGCCACCATCTTCGCACCCTTCATCTTCAGGCTGCTTCTGAATCGATATGTGGCCTCAGAGGGGCTCGGCGACGTCGGAAGCTGAGTTCGAGCTCGCAGAACTGAACGAGATCGCAGGGGGGCTGCTTTTAATTGTTGTCTTGCACTGCCGTCGACCAGGGAGCTGCAGGAACTGGTTTCAGCGACTCGCGTGGGACTTAGCGAGTGATCGAGCTCGTGGGCACGCGACACTGAGCACATGCTTGTAACTTGTTGCTTGAAGCATGAGAGCTGTGGCATACTTTCTCTTACACCATCACTCACTTGTCCAGACACTCGCTTGTCTCAGGGACTCGGATATTTGGGGCGAAGAGAAGGAGCCGGAATCTCAGATCCGTGTTGTGCTATGACATGTGTCTTGGGCAGCTGTTGCCCTGTGCTTCCCAAAGCCTTTGCACGTAGCTCGTCGCACCTGCAGTGATGCATCGACGGCCTCCGATCTCATGGGAAGTAGATACAGATACATCGCTTTTGGAGATGCTGCCTGTTCCTTGGCTTGTGCCAAGGAACAGTAAGAAAGACGAAGACGACGACCTAGAGGCCGGATTTCAGGTTTTGAACTGGCTAGTCGGTGCCTGCTTGTTTGACGTCACTGGGCAATCTTTGAGTAATGATTACACATCAACCACATGCGTCGCAGCCGTTTAATGTGCACCTCCGCGTCCTCTGCGCATTGGTCTGCTGTTTGGACGTTCTGGTGATGGTTAGATGCAAACATGCACGGTGTCAAGTACCGATGTTGGTGAAAAGGAGCCGTGAGCATAGGCCGCGCGAGGGCATGTGCTAACCATGGCCGCGCGCGGCCTGCAAACACGTGATGTCCGCTGTTGATGCCTACTTACCACCCTGACAGTCATCTCCAAGCACAGCTCAGTTGTTGCAGGACATTGACGTTGCAGGGGCATTGAAAAACAAGCCTACGGAGCGGTGCCCTTAAACAGCTGCAGGGCTGAGGCGTCGTCGCGCACCCCAACCAATCGACTCAGATAAGGTACGGACAGTCCAGCCCGGGTGGTGCAGCTTGGCCCAAGAACTGGAAGCCTTGCCATCTCGACTCGTTTGCTGTGCGAACGCAGCGCGTCAGAGCACTTGACAGTGGTGATAAGGAGATGAAAGCGGCCTTCTCAGTTCCAAGCAGCCCAGTACTTCTTGTTCTAGCACGAAGTCTACCATCCGAAATTCTGGTCTCCCATAGGGCTCACTGTGTTCCTGGAATGCTACCTTGGAGAAGCTCGCTGAGGCCGTAGATGGCAGGGCTGTTCGTAATGCAGACGACAAAGGCCCGAACGCTGCCTTTCCCAATCACTTGGCAAGATGGGGAGAAAGAGATCGTTGGCTTTACCTGCTCATGTTCATAGATGCTGGCGGCAGGCAAGAGTGGCTTCCTTTGCTGCCTGTTCTTCAAGAAGGCAGGTCTGCACCAAGGGACTAAAGGCCTGCCGCAAAAGAGATGGGAAGTAGTGACGGACGGAGTAGTGGCGCGGTCGTCCAGCCGAAGCTTGTCCTGCTGTCTGGCTGCCGAGGGCGGTCGTCAGCAGGCGGCAGAGAACCCCATGCACTCGAAGGGACACATCCTAGACCACTGCTTTATCGCCACAGCTTGTGGGTAGCCAACGTGCAGGCAACACACGCGACCAATTCGATAGCAACCTATCAAACCCCTTGCACGGCTCCAGATTTCATGCCTCCTCGGAGATGAAATGTTGGGATTAGCTACCCCATCGGATGCTCATGATGTAACCAAAGAGTGCCCATGATTCCGTGCTCGCCTTCCTCAGTCCATGGCCTTCATGGGATTACCTTAACCTAGCCATGTGCTGAAACTCAGTTTCCTTTTTGATGTTGATTCCAGCTGTAGAATTTGCTTGCATACCCGGTTTGTCTAAGACCCTTGTTGCCGCGATTGTGCCCATGCATCAGGCCACGTAGTTGTGCAGCAATCAGTGCGACATCACATCTGTCTGTCAAGCATATACGCTTGCAGGATTCCTTGACAATCCGTTCTTGGCATGTTAATCGCACATGCTTGCAGGTAGTGGTCCACTAAAGAGGCAATCTGAGGGCAAATAGCAGCCAATAACACATTGGCTCCCTTGCCACTGTGTTCGGGAGCATAAAGACAGACAGAAGTTCCAGATCAATTCTGAAGTCATGTAGCCTAAATAAAACACGAAAGCTCCTTGAGTTTCACCTTTCCAGAGATTTTGTCAGAGAGGGCCGAGAAGTAGCCAAATCCTTGTCCTCGAGGGCGTCTCGCATCGGCCTTACTTGATGGCGGCGACACGCGCTGCATGTTCACCATTCGGATGACTACTCGTACAGTACATCCCTTACCAGCATAGCGATACCTGGCCGTCTAAATTTGGCTTCGACAGCTGCGCCGCAGGTCTTCCGAGGCTGTGGAGAGGAAGACAGCACTTACATTCCACGTCACAGCACACGTTGATCTTGCTTCTGCTACTGCTCTTTCTCTCCATTTGCTTTTTACAAAGCTAGTGACCTAGTCCTGGTCCCAAAACAAGCTCGGACACTTGTTTGTGTGTCTGTGCATTCTAGGGATGGTGGAAAATGCATCCACCGTTGCAATGTCTCGGATCACCGCAAGTGCTTCTGACTCGTGACTTACGATTGTGGGCATCGGCTGGGAGGGCTAGAGACTCGGGAAGTGCTTGTGTTGATTTGGGCGGCTTTTTTCAGCGTTGGGCACCGAAGACACAGTTTTTTTGGGCCGTTTGTATATCAAATGCAGTCTCAATTGGGCTCGACTTCGAGGAACTCCATCCTGCAAGAGGATGAGTTGCAGCTTCCGGGTGCCAAGATGGCCAATGTTGCCTTGTCCGCGGTGTCGAAGGTTCGCGCCGCAAACAAGTTGAGACAGTGCGTGAGCCTCTCTAAAGCGATGCTGTACCAGGTAGCCGCCCGTTTGAGGTGTTGAGATGATTTTGAAGTGAAAACGGGCCGGAAAAGGGAACGGTAGGCTTCCTAAGCCCAGTACTCATATCCCAGAACTCCTCCGTCCGGTGGCTTTCTCCTCTGGTTCCACAGCACTCGCGCCTTTCATGTCGCTCGCTGTCGTGACGACGGCTGCGGCATTGGAAGAGCTTTGGACTGCTCGACCCTGCAGTACCTGAACTCTTTGGCATTGGTGGCATCACCTTCAGAGTGACGTGCTTCAAGCAGATGTGCACAGGTCGAGCAGACCAGGTAGACCTTCGTGATGAGTCTTGACTCCAGCACGGGCTGCAGTGTTGCGCTACCAGCAGCCCCTGCTGTTCTGTTGTCGTGCCCCTTCTGCGATTCCTTAAGGGCTGTAGAAGCAGAGGCAAACAGGTACACTCAGCGATCACTCGCGCGACAAATCAAGTCCTGAGCTCATCTCGTCTCAACCTAAGTAATTAGGGTTGCTGCAGTTGCCTCGGCAGGTTCGTGCAGCTTGTGTATTGCTACACTCGTTTATGGAAGTCTTTGGCAAGCCTAATTTCTTGGGTAGTGGCTGATCTACCGAAGCTTCGCAGTTGCTCAAACTGATCGGAACTTAGAGCCGACCGACACACCTTGCAATCCCAAGCTTCGCTAATGATGCAGCATGGTGTTACGAGGTGAGACGGTGGGTCTAACCGTCACGAACCATCAGAAGGGAGGGTAGACTGAGATCCGAGGACAATGACAAGCATCCAGCAGAGCCACAACGGCAAACAAAGAAGAAACTGAGAATTCGCGTTCTGAGCGCTATTCCCCCCTCCCGTGCCCTTGCCTTGGCCGACATGGCGAAGCCTGGGACCCGAGTTACGATGGCGCTCCTGGCGAGGCCAGCGGATAATTTTTTACAGCGGGGCCTTAATTGCGCCTCTTTATCATCTTTCCTTCTTCTTGCTTTCTAACTTTTTTCGATGTGTAAGTTGCTTGCGTTGGATGCAGGCGCTGGATGCGCGGGAGCACTCTGAGCCTCAGCCGGGCCCCGTCCTTACGATGGCCTCAAAGTGCGAATGCCCCGGCGCGTGTTGAACTTCAGGGAACAAACATCCACCGAATCATAGAACGGTGACCGCAGAATGCTGCCTAGGCAACCCCGGCAATTGCTTTGAGAGCTTTCTCTGATGCCCCGGCGCTGACACGGCTTGAGGCGAGTTCTTTGTAGATGCTGCGCACGCTCTCTCTTAGGAATTCTCGTCCTTCTTCTTGCTCTGTCTTATGTGGCACAACTTGCTTCCGGTGTAGAAGCAGAAGAAGCCGAGCGACAACTACCTGGACATGCACTCACTGGTGACCCGCCTTCGCCACGGCCTTAAGCTCTCCTTCCAAGACGAAAGCTCAAATCCAAAGCGCGCCCTTGCGAGGTGAGTTGTTCCCGCCGGCACCGGCGATGGGTGCACCCATCAATGGTGATGTGGTCACGTCCGTTACAGAGGCGAGCCAGATTGCAGAAGAAACAGTGAAGAAACACCCCACTTTGAACTCGCGGACCTTATTCCAGATGTTGACAGAATTCAATGGCAGCAAGGAATCTACTGCTCCAATCTACACTACTAAGTACTAGTAGCGCTGGTACCCAGCCGTTTTTCTTGTAGGGGTTCCGCTCACGGCACCCTTCTGGCAGACTCTGCAGAGCGTGAAGCTGAACCCACGTGAATGGCAGCAGCACGCAGTCTACCGGCGGGGGCGCTATACCAGGCGACCGCTGCACGGTAATGCCATGCTAGCCTAAGAAGGGTCGGACAATTTCTTCTAGACAGCTTCTGTACAGGAACAGGGGTGCCTCGCAATTCGATCAGTCTTTGACTATGACATTCTACGGTTGTATGAGAGTAGAAGACAAGGATCGAGTCGGCCGAAGCTTTGAAGTTGATAGGGATTTCCTGCAAGCTGCAGTCCTCTGCGCTTTTGTGCATGGACGGTTTCCTTTCGTGCGGAGACCTGCCCAGGAACATAGTTGGATACTCGCCAAACCAATTCATCGCCGCAGCCTCAGGCTGAATGAGAACGTGCTCTTGGGAGCTACATGCTGTGTGTGCCAACACGATGCATGTCTCTAATTAGAGACGGCAGGTAGTCCGGTAATGGCTGTCGATAGCTAGTCAGAGGTTCTGGGGGATCTTCTGGTCCGAGCCAACCGAGGTGCTGCTGCTGTGTTGGGAGCGGGGCCAACAGAGCCCCATCCATGACCATGCAGGTGAAAGGCTGAGAGTGCTTTCTCCAAGGCGGATCGCCCATGGTGGGAACTCGTTCCAGGGCCGGTGCCTTGTTTCCACTGAAGATGCTGAGGTGCTCACTGCTTCATCAAGATGCTGAGTGGACAGCTTCAAGTGCGCACGTCACGTTTTGAGAACTTGGTTTGTGGGATGTGGTGTTACCAATCATGGTGTGCCGACAGTTTGCGAACATTGCAATGTTCCGAGTTAAGAGGTACTGTGCTTTGGCATGCTTGGGCCTGCGTCAGTTTATCCAGTTCGAGGGGTAGGTGTGCACTTACGCCCTACCGTGCGCAACAGCGCTACGGGCACAAGTGGGAAGGCACACGTGCCGCCCAGTAACTGCAGTTTCTCGGAGTACCTGGGCAACGCAATCACAGCCTTCTACAAACTACGTGCCTGTACTTTTGACGGCCCGCAAGGTCTCACGTTGTGAGCTGCACGGTCTAGCGCATTGAAGCATTTGCGAGGTCTAGTGCTGCAAGCTTTCGCAGGGTCTGCTGCAGTGAAGAGCCGTTTCTGCCCATGTGCCACATTTTCGAAAAGTCCAACGAGCAAGGAGAAGGAACAAGCCTGCGTGGTCACGGCTCCGTGGCGAATATTTTCTTAGAGCCCGAAACAGCCAGAGCAGCATGTCGCAGCCGTGTTAGAAGATGCTGAATTCATGTCCGAAGCACTCCTAGCCAGGAGCGCAAATTCGCTTGGGCTCCAAACGGCTCCTCTGGCGCACAGGCGTGGAGGGATCCCGGCATGGGCTCCTGAGACTAGGCTTCCATGATTCACGGTGCGCAGTGCAGGCAGGGCCGCCTGGCCTTCTGGATGCATCTGACACAGAGAAGAGTGCTCGGGGCCTCAAGTCTGCTACAGAAAGCGTCTGGAGTCAAAGTCGTTCACTTCTGGGCCTGGATGCCGACTCGAAGCTGAGCATGTGGGTGCTGTGCCCTTGGACATGGTTTCCAGATCGAGGTCCTTGCTCGCAGATGCAGAGTGGCAGTTGTGCAATCTAGCCAGCAAGCGAGCGAATGGCCAGCCTTTTGCATATCTTTTAATTTGTGAATGCACGAACTTTCTTACCCCGATCCTTACCCCTCTGCGATTGACAGGCTCATAGCTAGCAGCTAGCAGCTAGCAAAGGCCAAGGAAGATGGCATATGCAATGGGCATTGTGAAAGGGGCCTCCTACTGTATCCACATCCAGCACTCACACGTACCGTCATTGCACCCTCATCATCCGCCGCGTGATGTGCAGTGGAAGCACACATCCTGTACAGCACTTCCCCCAAGCCCGAAGCCTCAAATGATCTCCCAAAGCACCGATGGGGGATGCCTCGGAAACATGGTTGCCAGATGACGAGGCCGCAACTTGACATCCATCATCGTTTGTCGTCTTGCAACCACGTCAGCTGGGAGCAAGAGCAAGGAGTTCCACCTTGAGGAGGGCGAGGAGGGCTTGGAGGGGAGCGCCGGCGCCTCCTGGATCGCCTTTCTGCGGGATGATGCCACTCGAACGCGACTCGCAGCCAGCGCCCCCCCTTGCTGTAGTTGGATTCCTGGTGTTGGGAGAAGGTCAAAGTCCAATGCGCTGTTTGGCTCTGCGCATCTGCGGCGGCGGCAAGGTGCCCGAAACAAAGGAGACTTGCTCTGACGTCAGACGTAATCGTGAAGCAGGGTGGCGGGCAGCTCATCTCCAGCCTCATGCATTGAGTGGGGTCAACGGAGAATGTGCGGTTCTATGTATTAAGCACTCGGGTTTTCTTCGACAGATGTTTAGGGCTAGCACGGGCCAGGCGCATGCTGCTACCACATCCCAGAGTGGTTGTGGTTTTGAATATCGCAGTTGCATGACTGGACTAGATCACCATGTCGCCTTCCAGATTCCCGCCCCGGCACGATGCAATAGTGTGGAATTTGACGACTCTACTCCGCTGGAACCCAGCCGAAGCCCCCAGTGCCACGCTGCCCTCTAGACTCTAGATTCGCCAGATTTCTACTTCAGCTCACTTTGCTTAAGGATCGAGTAAGAACGGAGATTGTTGCAGGCACGCGGCGGCGCCTTGCTGCAGGGGTTTGCTCGAGCTGGCCTTGGGCATGTCCCCCAAAATCCCCAGCCCTTTCGGCGGCACTTGGGAGCGGTGGCAGCCGGACTCATGCAGGAGCTTTCCAAATCACCTTTCTGACGCGTCGTTTCTACTTGTCTACTTCGGGTTGTCTTTGGGATCGAGGCTGTCGGGTTTGGATGTCACTCTTCCAGTGAGTGGGATGCTTGCATAAGAAAGAGTGCATTGTACTGTTTGTCCTTGTGAGGCGTCTTTGGCTGGGCTGTTGCCAGCTTGCTCTCTCTCGCATGGCTTCTGCTGGACCTGCAAATGGTCTTCACTTCAGAAGCTTCGAAGCAGCAAAGCTTGTTGTGAGTCTCACCCGAACACCACCCGTCAATCTTATTGAGGAGCAGAGAGCAATGCTGTTCCCTCCCTGGAGCATCCTCGTGCAGCTCGTCTGTGGAAGCTGCGTGGACTGTGTGGACACCGACCGACCGTGTGTCGTGTGCATTATCGGACGAGGGTTTTGTCATTCTGCATGTGCCGAATGCTTGAGGTTTGTGAAGCAGCCGGTGGCTGTCGGGCCTCTTTGCTGCAGGGTTAGCTGAAGTTGCCCCTTGCACCGGACTGTCCATGAAGCAACTGTTTCCAAACTGCAGGCGCTCTGGCTCAAAGAAAGGTCTCAGCGTTTGACACCAGTCCCATTTTCCAGCTGTTTGGAGGAGCTGCTTTGCAGAAGAGATGGTATTGTTCAGAACTTGTCGCACAAGGGTGTCGCTGATCCAAGGTCAGTTGTCGAGCCATGGAGTGGGCTTAACGTACTCGTTGTACTTGTCAAGTGTGGTTGGAATTCTCCGTGCATTCTTGTCGAAAATGATTCCTTCGCTGCTCCCTCGATTCGTCGGGTCTATAGCGTGATTTCTTTCTACTCCTGCTACATAGCTTCTCGCGATTCAACAACAAGCCTGAGGCCATGACCCAACATTTGCAGGCTGGGTGACCGGGTGTGAAGCTTTGTCACGTTAAGAAGTACGTGACAAGTTGATACAAGACTCCTCGCACTGTTATCCACAGGCACCCGAGAAGTCGACATGCAAGAAGGACGCATCTCCTTCCAACAGGTCCACAGCCACTTGATTGGAAATTGGGAAGGCCAGTGTTAGAAGAGATTCTCTACGAGCGGGGCACCTGAAGCCAGCGGCACTTGCAGAAGTCGTTTTGAAGCATCTGGGAAGCACGGCTTTCCCCTTCCCGTAAGGCCTCTTCACCCACGAAGAAGATCAAGGAGACATCGGGGATGACGGTTTCCTTTTCTGCTGGTTTTCCGGCGACTTGTAGTGGGCGGTGACAGTCTTGGCGAAGATGCCCTTCCTTAGGTGGTTGCAAACAACTGCTTCCTTCCGCGGGATCCATGGCGAGTGACTCGCAAGGAGAAAGCAGCAGCCATCCGGAAGAGCTTCCAACGGCCAAAGTTCTGGGTCATGGGTGGCTCGGCTGAAGGGAGCAGAGACACAGAGACAGCGAGAGATATAAACAGTTTTAGGTCAAGGCCGCAGGTTGGAGTGCGAGCTGGCTCGCGCGAGGCAAGTGGGCCTGCACAGCCTGGATTCACTCTGCAAGAAACAAGACTGACTGAGAAAGCAGGAAGGGCGAGAGAGAGGGGGAGAGAGCGAGAGATGGCAAGAAGGATGCACTCTCACGCGCTGTATCAAGAAATGGCCTCCCTTGCCTCTAGTCTTAGTCTACGGACAGAGCGCTTGCCAGCCGGAGACAGTTAGAGCTCTCTTAGAGTATTAGAGCGATCCAAGGATTCGGATGGTGCCTTGACTGTACACTTTGTAGCTTGGCACTTGCTGCCACCGACTGCGCAGATTTCTACACAAGTTTGCAGTCATCGCTTTTGTCTGAAAACTCACAGGTGTTTGGCCGCGTGCGCTGGTGCTTCGAACGTGATTGCTTTCAAAAGTTGGTACCTTGACCAGATTACGGCATCCGCATAGCATAACGTACTGGATACCCTCACCACATCACGATGTTCTAAGTGCCTATTGGTAAGCAAAATCGATTGCTTGTGGGGTCTTCAAAGATCTTGACGTGGATGGAGGCACCTCTATGCGTCTCACGTTACTGGCAGCACTTCAGCGATTGCCTTCCGAATCGAAGGTGTGCACCAAGGCGAGTGGAATCGGTACTCCGAATCAAAGAGCTTTTTTTGTTTGTTAGGGGATCATGCGGAGGGCAAGGTTGACATTTTGAGCCTTTGTCGCGTTTGCCCTGCAAGATGGTGTGGAGATGGAGAGCCTTCAGGAGGCGGTGGCTCTCGTAGGCTCCTTCCTGCTTGGTTCCTTTGGCCGCATCTGGAAGGCTTTTTTGGGCTTCGCATTGCTAGGCACTGTTTAGGTCGTGATTTATTTACCTTTCTTAACTTGGGGTTGCCGCTGAAACATGACGGCGCAAGGTGCCTATGCCTGCGGTGTGCTCATCGACAAAAATCAAGTGGGCTCCTGCGAGCTTGCATGGAAGAGGGTGTGTGTGTGAATGCACAACTCCGAGCCAGGTGCACTTTTTGGGCAAAGCGTTTTACGGTCTGGCCCTGATACTGAACTCCACGCTGCTCGTCCTGGCCGCCTTCGTTCCAGGGAGGCCTACGGGCACAACACGTGGGTCCAAGGCAGAACAGGAAAGACGACAGTCCTTTGGCTGGGCGGAAGATAACTGGAAGACTGCACCCTAGCTACTTAAGATTGCGCAGGAAAAGCAGCATGGTGAACAGGTGTCGGGTGATGAAGCTCTGAAACTTATCATCATCGCACCGCATTTGTTCAATTTGGACGAACACGGCGTAGTGCGGCACCACTTCTGGATACCGACCGACAAGCGTCAGAAGCTTGCGACCCCTGCTCAGTCTTTCACTGAGAAAGAAAGCACGGCCACAACAGCCCCCACCACAACACTCACAAACGCCCGTAGCACCGTAGCTGTGAGGTTTGATGGAGTACCGGACTACCGATGCTTCGCTCGCCCATTCCCCATGGCACCGACATGCACCGGCACTTCGCTGTCGTCCGAATCAGTCTCTTGAAGCTGCAAGCATCTCTGCAATGTATCATCTCAGCTGTGCCAGACTCTTCCCCGTGTGCCTGGTGGCGGCTGCATGTGGCCTACAGCAGCCTGGAAAAATTGGAGCCGGGCCGGGCAGTGCAGAGCAGTTGCAGAGCCAAAGCTGGCAGCCAAGGAATGCGATGTGCACATCGCACTTCGGAGCAATCGTGCGCACGACGCACGTGACGGGAACGGTCAGTTTCTCAAAAGGGGCTGTGAAAAAGCAGCTAGTAGCCGACGGAGGTTCCCACAGTTTGAGGCGAGGCAGTGACGGGGCAGTGCCTTATGGCCCCTTATAGGCATCTAACCGGTCAGAAGAAGGCAAGGCTCGAGCACGAGCACTCGACTGCGAGATCCGCGCCTGACAGTCTTTAAGGGTGCCGTGTGAAAGTCTGGTGATCAGGATTTGTGTTGTTTGTTGAACAGCCAAGAGCAACATGCCGTTGGCTCGCATGTTGGCCACACGTGGTGATGCACGGCAAGCATTTTGAAGCTGCATGCGCTCAGTCCAGCAACTGAGGTCACTGACATTGGATCCACGCTGGGCCGCATCAGCATGATTTTCTTGCGCAAGGCATCCCGTGCCGTCTGTGGGAATCTCTGGGCACTATAGCAGAGGGATTTGCGGTGACACATCAGAGGCAGAGCAATCATTTCCGCCTTCAGATGGCTGTGGAGAAGCGTGCCCACACCATCAGTAGTATCCACAGTCATGCATGCTTGGAGGGGTGCCGTCGATCTGAGCTGAACGACGTGGAGAAAGCAGAAGTTGGCGTCGACGTGCCAAGAATGCATGGTATTGACTCATAGCGAGCCCTGCCGGCTGCATAAATCATGCACCGAGGCACGCAAGCTGTTGGTCTTATCGGGTTTGTGGACATCCTTCTTTATTGGCGGCCTTATTGGAGCTTCGCTGAGAGATGGCTGGAGCCGGGCAGTGTCGCAGACGTAGACCTTCCACCCGTGTCGCCGTTTCACTAAGGAGTTTACGAGGAGAACATGATGCCAGGTCCGCGGGCTTTGCTCGTCCCGGCGAGCTTCACGGGAACCCTGGGCGTGTGCTACATGGCCCTCAGCCTCTCGGGTGCCACAAGGTACTGGTAGAGGGAGTTTACTGCAGCGGTTTCGTGGATCTGACATTCCACTCGAATTCTAAGGAAAAACACTGAAGCAGTACATCCAAAGGATGGAAAAGGAGCGCTTCGACTCAGATCTCAAAGAAGTTCAGGCACGGGAGCGGGATGTTGTGGAAGGGCAGTCGTCAATTGCGATAGCTCTGCACTTGCACGGTCCGACAGGAAGCGATCCACCACATGGAATCCAGGCTTCATAGTGTCGACACCGAAAACAACGAGAGCCTGGTGGTGGAGCTAGATGAGGACTGATATTGATATATTAAAAGAATCTCCGCAAGTCGGGTACCTGATGTTTTTACACACGCAGGAGATGGGCCACATGATCGAGGCGCTCCACGAGGTGGAAGCCGACTTTGAGAATCTGTCAGCGGCCACAGCTATGTGCGAGCCAGATTCCGGTCCAAGTCAGAGTGCACTTTGATTTTCTCAGGCTTCGATCAAACAGCCAGCTGTCAGTGGGCCAGAACAGCCGTGGCGGCTCGCACCTGAGTTTGCTACGTGTGTGGGACGGAGCAAGGCTAGCTTTCCCGTGGAATCGCCGGAACTTTCCTGGACAAAAAGTGCCTGCGCAGGAAGCAAGGCCCACATGGAGGTGTGACCGCGCGGCTCAAGCTCTCGTTCTTTCCACCCGTGGCGGCTTAGCCACGGGTAGGAGGAAGCTGGAAGAGTGGGAAGAATGCTGCAATGCTGCAGGATGAAGGCTTTGACGATCGGCTATGGAGCAATCGGAACTGCCTCCAGCATCTTCTTGCCAAGAGATTTTCCTTCCGTTCCCTTAGGCCTTTAGTTAAAGCTAGGGCTAAGGGATGCGGAGGTCTTGTTGCAAGTGGTGGAAGGCAAAGCCCAGCACAATCCATAGTGTGCAACACACGTATGCTCGGCCTCTTGTTGCAGGTCACGTACAGCTGAAGGTTCCAAACGGTAGTGTGTTTGGGAGAAGACTGGCTTGTGCCTGGCGTGCAATTGTCCTTGCCTATCGCCATTGCAAGCCAGCCACTCAGCACAATCGGGCTTTCAAGCTGCCTGAGCCAACAGACTCTTTTTTGGGGCATGGTGGGACACAAGATGCCCACGAATCGATCCACCAGGCGTCACCCCACCATGGTAGAGCGCACTGCTCATTCTTTGACGCATGGGCTGACCTTGCAACGTGGGCTCTGGTGACTCGATTTATTTTGGTGGTTCTCTTGGCTGTAAAGACATCCGCGTGTGCCTGTTGCCAAGTAATTCGTGCAATTCGGGCTCGTTGTTCTTCATCGGAAAAGATTGAGCACGGATAGGGGAGTGATGAGCGGGACGCTGTGACGAGTTCGTTTCCGCTCCTCCCTTCATCCCTTTCGTGCCAGTCTCCATGTAGGCCTCAAGCTCCGAGCCGGAAGGCTCATACCCCCAAGGACACCGAATCTGACACCGCCACCGATTGATGTGACTACATTGACTACATCATACTACACCAACTGTGTCGGAACTCGTGGTCCCCGAATCCACGAACCTGCGCCCTGAATCCAACCCGACATGTATCAGAGTCATCGCATCGCTTCGGTCATCGCTGAATCACATGTCGGGCGGCTCTTGGGCTCGTCTGCATGGATCCTTGACTTTGGCAAGGGAGGAGCAGTTGGCTTCATGTCATTGTGCCCAGACTTGCAAACCGATGACGCCATCCTCTGGCGACTTTTGTCGGACAGCTCGTAGTTGAAAGGCTGCCTGAATTTTTGGACAGAGGCCTCAAGTGCCGCCAAGAGCTGGCAGTGATGGGCGATGGGCGGCGGATCAACCTTTGTAGTGCTGATTGAAAGAACTCATGCCTCCCTTTGTGTATCAGTGGCGTAATCTGCGGCCCAGAGCTGATCGCTTGCTCTCACTTGGCCGAAGACTCGTCGAGCAGAGCTCGTCTGAACTTTCCGGGTGCTGTTGTGCAGCGAGGCCTGTGCACCGAACTCTCCAGCACCCGGTGATCTTCCCTTTCTGGGGCCGCACACATCCGCCCAATGGGGTCAACGGTCGCACGATCTTGCGATGGTGGTCCATATCGCAAGACAAAATCAATCAATCAAACACTGCTGGGTGAAGCATGGGGGATCGTGGGCGCTTTCGACCTCACAGGCTTCGCAATGTCACAGTGTGGGCCCTGTACTAAATGTTTTGTTGCCCGTACGATTGATTCCAGGAAGCGTTTTCTGGTCAGTGTCAATCGGAAATGTCTTTACTCTGATCGACCAGCGGCAAAAGATTCCTCGACATGATCGACTGCCGACAAGTGAGCTTGCCCCGGTGAATCTCACAGTCTTGCAAACTGTCGGCGAATGAGGTCAGTTGTTATTTTCTTGGGCTACGATGGCCGAAGCTATGTGCGACGTGTTCAGGCAGGGTTTAGGGTTAGGTTGCATTGTGAATGGGTAGTGGTGGGATGGAGTTGGGCTGCGACGGGGACCACGCGAGGCGGTGTGACTGACGGAACGAGCAATTCGGGTCCAGAGATACATGCAGAGACGCGCCAGAGGTCATCAGGAGCAGTGTCGCTCCGATTAGATGCTTAGATATAGAGACAGCTGCCGCGTGCTTCAGTACTGTTCAGGCTAGGCCGGCTAGGCCCGGCAGAGAAGCTCAGAAGCGTGTCCAGGCCATCGATGAGACCGTTGCTCCCAGCAGGTTTCAGACCGCCATCTGGCTGCAGGTGTTTCGACGGCACCTTCCACTTCGGGTTTGCAGACTGAGGTCGGAGACCTCGCTGGCGCGCCCAGCGACAAGCCCCTCTACAGCGCCGATGGGAGTGCGGATTGGCTGGAGGCCGGGCGGCTCATTGCAAAGCAGCGTAGGCCTAGCACCTGAGCACATGAGGCCCAGGCGATCAAGGGCACGTCCGCAGCCGAAGCAACCGTGACTGAGCTTTGCATCTCTACCATGTGAAGAGCCATTCTAAGGCTCCTTGCAGGACCATTCCCGATCTCGAGCGTCCTGTCGCTTTGACAGCAAAGCTGCGACTTGATTCGTTTGTTTGCACCCCCTTCCAAACCTGCATGTGGTAAGGTCCGTGGCATTCGTCCTGACAATTCTCAGCCCTCCCATGGCTTTCGCGTTCTTCGTGCAGGCCTCAGTCTCGCTTGCAGAAAGCAAAAACATGAGGAGGTTGATGAGGTTGATTTATTGCCTGGTCAGTGAACCGAGGTCACCAGCCAGCCCTTGGTAACGCTCTGGTTCCTGCCTCCCGGCATCGGCTCTCTGGATTTGATGCATTCGCCAGAAATTAAGCTTCACTGGATTGGCTGCCAAGGCTGCTTGCCAGCATCGGCATGAGCTTCCTGTTTGGTGCGCTGTCATGAGGGCATTCGTGCTGAGTGCCTTTGGCAAAGCTCTACAGCCCTGGTTTTCGTTTGGAGCTGGTGGCATCCGTGATCTGGTTTCGGAGTGTTTGGCAAGCCTCTCAGATGTCGTTCCAAAGACAATGAACGCAAGGAGATGCTGACTGTGCAGGGTATTTCGCATGCAGACAGCGAGATCTATTGAGTAATGGTCCCGAAAGCGAAAAAGCAAGGCTTGTGTACCCTGTTACTGTCTTCAGTTTCACCACTGGGAGTTGTTTGCCTTTCCTGCGCTCCGGCTGATCAAAAGTGTGCTCGAGAACTGCTGATGATGTTCCAAAGCAGGAATCTCTGATTCGCGGGCTGCTTCCACGAGCGTCCGCTCACTTCAAGTTGTTGACTGCACTGAATGAGGTCAGCTTCATGCACGATTCCTTGGGTCTTCACCAGATAGAGAATCCCAGCGAGAGCGATGCATGGGGCTCGATCGCCTATCTTCGACAGCTTTGCCCACTCATCAGATTCATCAGTGCGCATAGCCTGCTGCCGTGTCTTGTAGCTGTCAGGCGAAAGGCCTTTCGCATAGGAGGTTGTGTGTGACCTGTAGAAGTGACTTTGAATGCTTGCAGAGGTGGCGGTCTCTCTGCATGTGTACTCGCCACCCTTCCAGGCACTCCGAAGTCCAAGCGGCTCTTTCGTCTGTGCAAGGGTGTAAGCTCATGCCTTTGGCCCTGCTTACAACAATATCGATTGTGGCGGTGGCGCGGTCGTAAGAAAATCCGCGCAGCCGAGCGCCGCCGAGCAGCCGAGCGCAGCCGAGCGCA